CATGCCGCATGAGATTTTGTAAAGTATTTATGAAGAACACCTATTTTACGAATCATTTCTACAACATATTTATGTTTACATAAATCTTCAGTAATTAAATTAATACAATGTGGTATACACCGAAGATTCAAAATATGTGGATATTTTTTGCAAAGAATTTCTCAAGCAACACGAACATTTGATCCATTATCAGATACTACAGCAGCTAATTTTTCAGGTCTAATTTTTTCAACAATTTCAACAAGTTCATTTTCAAGAAAAGCACCCATATGATAAGAAATACTAGAATAATTTTTAGAGTACCAAAGATATTCTTTACGCTCTTCAGTAATTATACAATAATCATAAACAGATTGTCCAGTAGGACCCGTCCAGCCATCAAATGTAATAGTAAGATTAATTTCTTTACTAATAATTTGTTCAACTTTTAAGTTAATTCTAGCAAACTCCTGATCAAAAGTGTATTAGATAAAATCCAACGGCTTGGAAGAGAATAAGTAGGCCACAAAATTTTAATGAAATCATGAAAAAATGGATGTTCAACAAGAGCAAATGGTATATTGCAACAAGAAACTAATTTTACTAATGCTTTATTAATCTGATCTGCTTTGTCTAAGGAAGTAGGGATGTTTTCACAAGGTTTATCTATATTGCTTGGTAACCTTTGTTTTTTTTTAGATTTAGCGATTGACATTTCATTATCAGAGTCTAAACCATGTGTTAATAAAGTTAAAATTTCAATCCTGGTTTCAGAATCAATATTTTGACACTCATATACGAGATGTTTTTTAAGATCTTTAGGTCTGCCAGAAGACCATGTTTCAGAACAATAATTACATGTCGCAGCATAATATTCTTTATAAATTTCATCACTTTTAGTAAATTTGTCCCATATTTCGTCAGGAGGACAACCACATACTTTTTTGCTTGTATTTAAAGAATCTTTATTAGATGACATTGTTTATTGGTATAGAACTAACATTTGGTTGGCCAAACGATTAGGTTTATAAAATACAGTAAAAAATTTAAATTTTTTATAATTTATTAAAAATTTTAATTAATTACAATAATGATGCCATAAATTTATTGCGAATTAATTAATTAATGAATTCTATAAAGCTTCACTGTGAAAAACGTAATTATTAGAGCATTCTATAAAATTTCCCTGTGAAAATCATAATTATTAGAGAATTCTATAAAATTTCACTGTGAAAAGCGTACGTTATTATTAGAGAATTAAAAAAAAAAAGATTTTTATTTCGTAATAATGATAGATTTATTTCGTAATTATAATTTAAATTTTTAACTTTCGATCAAAATTTCGATTTCGAAAAATATAATAATAAATCAAAAATTAATCGAAATCGAAATCGATATTGAGTTCGAAAGTTCAAGCATTTCGGTCACATGTATAACACAGATACTTTTTTGATATTAACGAAGTCACGTGACCGCTGCACTTAAAATCGACCAATGGAATTTCTAAAAATTTCATTGGTCGATTTTAAGTGCAGCGGTCACGTGACTTTTTTAAAATCAAAAAAGCATCTGTGTCAAGATATGATTGGCCTTTGTCGAAGTCCACTTTCGATTTTCGGTAAGACTTTCGACTTTCGATAGGACTTTCGACTTTCGATAGGACTTGCGACTTTCGAACATTTCGGTAAACCAAATCCCGTTCGAAAGTACTTTCGGCAGACTTTCGATTTCATCCTTACATAGTACCACAGCACAGAAAAATTATCAGGTGACGATAGTAACACCGACTAAGCCAATTTACAAACTTCGACTTAGTCGAGTTGACAAATTTAGGTCGAATATAAGTGCTACTGCTCATAAGCGTTGTTGTTTCGGAAATTGCATCCTTTAAAACCATATTTTGATTCAAACAATGCTTTTTATGTATTGACGTATTTGATGCGTGCATGCATATCAGGATTAAAATTTTAATACTTTGAAATAACGCACATAGGCTAGTGATGTGTCGCGCACAGTACTATATGTACTGTACGCGAAAATTCTCGCCGATCACTTCAGATGAATTCTATCAACCAATCAGATCACTAGAATCAACTATACGCACTATATTGTGACGGGTATTATGCAGGGCACAAAATTTCCGAATGCCGGAAGATGTTTTTTCTCCGGCGGTGTTTATTTTAACCGGAACTTAGAAAACTCAGTCGGATGTAGCAGTTTTTTAATAAAGATATTGTAATATTTATTGATATTTATATACATACGTATATATGATATCATATTCGGAAAATTTCCGACTGATGAAAAGTCAAGGCGGAAATTGTCATGACGAAACGGAAATCTCCGAAATTTTACAATAGATTTTGTGCTCTGGTATTATGGTCGAATTCAGAGATGGAGCAAATGAGACGGATTGTCGCTTGAAAAACGATTATGCCGCGTAACGTCTCCCAAAGATAATAGAGGCGGTTTTAAGATTTGGCACAAGGTCGAGACGATCTTTTAAGGAGCGTTACAAGATAAGTGCAATGATTTTTAAAGAGCGTTAATATATTTTATAGGTTAAAAGGGCTTTATTAGCTTGATTATTATTTGTAGGGGTAATACAACTATAGGACTGTATTATTATATTATTCTGGACTGTTCTGAACTGCCTTTTGGGAGGGGAAATTCCACCCCTTTTTATAATGAATTGACCGCGAGAAGAGCACGCACAAGACCACGACTCTTCGCATTGTTCCCATCGTTTTCCAACCATTTTTGTTCTAACATTTAACCCCTTTCATACAGCCTTTCGTTACTTTAACATTTCTCACGGTCTTCATAGAACCGATGAGAAATGTTTCAGTTTTACTATCCCGTGGCCAGAACCTATCATATTGTCTACAATCGCATCCCCCTTGACATCGCCTCACACCTAACCCAAGTAGGGTAGGTGGAGTCAACGTCCATTCCCAGCACGAACAGGTTGGTCCAGGTCGGCCTTTCTTTAATTGGAGGGTGGTGGTGGGGTCGCGCATGGAGGCTTGTGTACTGTCATATGGGCCGGGCACACATGTTTCAAGTGGATCGTCATGGGCACTACCGATTAGGCAAGTAGGCCACAATGACGATCATTTCGTAGGTTCTTGTCGGTTTTACGCGTTTACTAATTTCCCCCAAAGTTTTCGATTTTGGCCAATCAACGAGCAAGATCAGGTGTAACGTGACAATCAAAACAACAATCGTTTTTTTTTGTAAAGTCACATTTATCTCAAATTTCTTCTAAGAAATCACCTTTTGCGTATTAACAAAAAAAATTCCTTACAAAATTTTGGTATAATGCTACCCACTAACCCTACTGCAGACCCTAACCGAGATGTCACATTTTAAACGGAAGGTGACATGTAAATTGGTACGAATAATCCCAGCCAATAGAAACTTTGGGGGGAAATTAGTAAATGCCGGTTTTACCTCTGACAATACGTACTGTACGTACTGTACGCGAAAAAAATTCGAGTACTATATAAATGGCACATCACTAACATAGGCGCCTCAAATAATAAAATAACACGCAGAATGCGTTATTTCGTGACTATACGAACTAACTGAAACTTTTGTCTTGGTTAGATTTTATTCCTTACTGGTGTATCGTGTAGGTCTTATCTACCTACAAATCAACGCCCGATATCTTTGCTATGTAAAAGCACATGACAGTATTGGAATAACTGTCATACAGACTTTGTTATTCTCTCTTTTAATAACATTTCTATTGTTTATAAAATTACGAATTCTCTATAGGAATGACTAATTGCATATCTTATTTGTACATCTTTACATGATATCCTTGTGCTTTATTTCAATAATTTGAAAAACCTTCATTATCGATAGGCGATGGGACTTTGATAAAAGACATGATAAGCACAATACCCTTTATATGCGGCTTTTCATGAAACCTTTTTGTCAATCTCGGAGATTTCTATTGGAAGGATACCACTATTTAAAGATATTTTACATTATTTACAGGCTATCTAAATTCTTTCTAAGACAAAAATTCCAGTAACATCATTAATAAAGCCTGTTTATATCATCAGATACCTGCAACGAGAGGCAATCTCAGAATTGCCTCAGTTAAACATTCAAAATAGTTTCTGTTGTTTGTTTTGATAACTTATCGTGTTTGAAAATCCTATAGTTGGATAAGATTTTATGCGCAAGTACGTACTTATTTGGGTTCATTAAATAAAAAAGAATTCATTTTTTGTTAAGTGAAAAAAACAAGAGCGGAGAAAAAATTTAGCAGAAAAAAAAGTTTATATATATGTTAATCGCATTGCTTACATCATTTATTTAAGCTTAATTTTCATATTAAATGTCCCGATCGTCGTAAGGTATCGTTATTGAATGCTTCGCCCAGTCATCTCACGATCAAATTCACCTTCAGATACATCAGTTATTGGCACGAAGCATTCAATAACTATATATCATTTAAAGAGTTATAAAAAAGTTCATCTTTTATGAATGAGGACGATAGTTATTCCAACAATTTCTTTAGTAATAAACTATGTTTTGGGCAAAGGTATGGATCGTGGATGGATAGGACTTACACAAATGATGGATATCAAATGAAAGTGTAAAATACTCATACTGATATAGTATAGTCCCATAACATTCTTACATCAAACAATCATGGAATCGATGGAAACATTAATATTCCTATGGACAAAATTACAAACTCTTCACTAATGCTAACAAATTTCTTATAGCTTCATGTGATTGGTGAATATTATCAGCGATGTGAAAATTCTCTAAGAATACTTTTTTTAAACTAATTTTTCATACATGAACTATTCATAAACTACATGTACTAACAATAAAGCACTTGTTACCGGTCAAATACTGTCCATGTAATACGGTGCAATTAAATCATCTGTTACTTTTATCCCTGAGGGTGCAGATAAAAGATTAATGAATGGTAGCGAAGCCTATCGTTATTTACATGATTGATTTATTTCGCAGTTCTTCATACTTCAATACTATTTTTTTTAAAAAAAATGTTTTATCCTTCTTTTTTGTATTGATCTACATATTGCATAAATTGTGTAATCTTAAATGTATCAAAAAGTAATCCCTAATCAATATAAAGATCCGGGTTAGCCGAATTAAAGATTCGAAATAAGTATAAAACAATAGTATAAAGTCATAGGATGATGCTGAAATCTGGGGCCTTAATTTGAAAATATAAAATTCTTTTATTATAAACACTAACTCTAAATTCTAGCCTAACTATGAAAAAAAAACTTATCAAAACACCCCAAAAATTTTTAAAATTTCATAATAAAATAAGTTAAAATTTCAACATCATCCCCGACATATAATCGCGGAATAAATAATTTTATATCCCAAATTACAGAATTATAGGAATAATGAGGGGAAACCCTTTCTTTAAATATCTTTTCTTAACTTGTTTACTTCCTACAGTATCAGCAAGCTTACAACTTACTGATATGTTCAACTTTGAAATAATCGATTACATACCGTATTTTGCGGTCACTCTAATTATTTTAATCCTTATAATCTTAGAAACAACACTAGAAATTCTGAGACCCACATATGCAATATGGATTAATCGTGTAACTTATTCTGTCTATTTTACCTTAATTATATTTCTATTATTCATGTTTCCGCCTATATTCAATTATGTGACAAGAGGTTTTAGTGATGCAACAATAATCTCTATGAGTTTTAATGGCTTAGCGATCAGAATAATAATAATGCTATCATTAAGATATTTCTATTACAGAGGATATGATAAGTACTTCAATTGCATTACAATACCGATATATATCCTCGGATTTGATTTCTTAAACTTATTGATCGCTAATTTCGATGTTAAAACTCATGTTTTGTTTATAGCGATAGCCATCTTATCAATTATTGGTTTAATTTATTTTTTTACATTATTTCATGAATGTTGGGTAATAATGTTAATGGGAACGA